TGAGAACTTGTGAGTAAACCTGATATATAATTATGTAATATCCCAAAATTTTGGGGATATTTTAGCATTAAATAAGGGATTTGTTTGAGGGAAAATATTATTTAGAGGCTTAATAGTCAAATTTTTAAAAGTTGAGGGACTTAAAAGAAAAGAAATTAGGATAAAGATCAACCACTTTCCTTTTTCTTTTTCTTCTTTCTTTCTTTCGTCCCTCATCAGACCCGCGTTTCTGCTCTTCTTCTTTTCTTCTCCCCTGCAACCCGAGAAGAGCCACAGCCACGGTCACCCATTTCCGGCCAGAAATCCGGCAAAGCTTGGGGATTTCTCCCTATTTTCTTGTCTTAGAACACCTGTTGAACCCAGAAAATCCCAGATCTGCGTCTTCCTCCCTCTGCTGTCCGTCGGCTTCAACTTGTGGGTTTGGAATTTCTGGGCGTTTTTCGGTAAGACAGCCCTGAATCTCCCTTTTCTCTCTTGATTTAGGCTTGGGTTTACCTTGAATTGTGTTTTGGTTTTTGGATTGGGTAGCCCGCGAGTTCCCCTGCAGAATTTCTTCTTCTTTGCCGCCGGCTTTTCCCCCTTGCTAGGCTCGGTTTTGCTTGCTAAATTTTGGTAAGTTACCGGCTCTTCCAAGTCCAATTTATCCATGTAATTGTTGCCTTGTGTGTGTGTCAAAATTGTGCCGGAAAAGGGGATAAATTCTGGTAGCCTTTAGCAGCCCTTTAAATGTGTTTTGTTGTTTAAATTATGTGGGAATTAGCTTGATTAATTGCTGTGATGTTTTGTATGCATAGCCGGGCTTTAGTGCTGTTTTGCCAAGCTCGGTTTCTCCATTTTGTCCGTTGAAAGTTTCCTGTTGAAATGGAGGAGTTTTGGCAGCTTTAAAACATGGGTTTTAAGCTTGCTTAACGTAGAAAATTAGCTTGAATTGGGTTGTGATTTTGGAGAGAAAATCCCGTGAAATTAGCTAGTGTTTTGCCCAAATTTTTGAAGTTACCGTCACTGTTCACTGCGGATAACTGTTCACTGCGGATAACTGTTCACGGGGTACTGTTCACGGGGTACTGTTCACGAGGTACTGTTCACACACCGAGGGTTAATGATTAACGGGGATTTAAAGGTTTAGTTTGTGATATAAGAATGAATTTGGAGATATTTGATCATGTGGAGATTGATAGGAATAGCATCGGGATTGGGAGTGATTTTAATGATGATTTCAATTTGAATTTGTGATAGTCCGATAATTAATTCTGAGGTGTTTTGATTAGGTTCCTAATCGTTCTGTCAGTTAGCATTGAGATTGAGTGCTCGGTTTTGTGCGAGTGAGGTAAGTAAATTATGGTAAAGCCCTTCGATTTCAAAGCATGTTTTCAATTGTTTTTGAGATGGTGGCAAGGTTTAAATTGATTTTA